CTCACCACGACTCGCTTAATTCGCTACAACGCAAAATCTAAAATCTCCAAAAAAAGGAATTAAGAGGGAGAGGTCGTCGCCCCCCCGCGGTGGGGTCTCCGACCTCAAATTTCCCTCCTCGATCGGGCTTTCTCGCCCTTGTGACGGACGTCAAAAAAAAGTCACGTCACAATATATATATATCTGTATATGTATGTATTTTAAAATATTTTAATCATTTTTAAGATTTTTATATTATTTTATAATATATTTTTTTATTTTTTTTCTGATCTACTCTATACTTATGCCTATATTAAATAAATAAATGTCTTCATGCGTGATTATTTAAAATTCCTACATGTTTTCTGCCGCGGAAATCTCACGTGTCGTCGGCCAGCAGTCGCAACGTTGCCACGTCTTGGTAGCATGTAACGTCTAATTTTCTGTGTTTTGAACTTTAAAACGCAATATTTTGGAAACCGTGAAGCTAAGCTTCCTGAAATTCAACTATAGTATAGTGACTACAATCCTTAATAACATATTAGTTTTTAAAAATTTTCCTAAATTTTGTTTCGACGCTATTGTTTAAAATATGCCTTTCACAACGATCCCTCCATAAGATTCAATATTAAAACTCACAACTTTGAGAATTTATATCTCGATTTCGGTGAAGCTGAGTCCTCTGAAATTTTGACATGTTGTACATAATAATGTTATTTATACATGGTAATTTTTTCACAATATTCTTAAATTGTTGAAAAATTGCGATAACCCCCTTAAGTTAAATCGGAAGTACTTCAGACATAACGCAATTCCTATGCTTGTCATCAATTCTTTCGTCACGACAAATGATCAAGCACATACATTCGGCCTTTTTCGTACACTTTTATTTGCCGGCATAGGTAGAAGTTAAATTCGGTTGATGACACGACATCACGTACGTAACTTTTTTTTCATCGTTCTTCCAAACATTGACGAGTGTGAGCGACGAGTGTCACATTCGGCGCCAGGGTGACTCGCGGGGTGGCGCGCCACAACGACGTCATTCGAAAGAAAGAAACAAAAAGCTGGGAAAAGTAGAGACGAGCGATAAAACGACGTGCGTGAGCGGAAGGGACGACGAATGGGAGACGAAATGTAGCGACGCAACGTGTATCGGCAAGAAATCGTGACGGGGATGAGAGAGGGTGCGTTCGACGAACGCACTACTATGAATCGAATGACAATTCGAATTTTGCATCGTTATACAAACGGCCCGTGCATTTTTTTTTCACAGACACGCCCGGATGGCGCCGAAACCATTGATTAAACCCCGGCGCCGACCCATTTTTCCCCTCTCGCGACCTGCTCTTCTTTCTATCCGCCGACCTTTTCGATTCTCTCGCGCCACATGCGTCTCGTACGCGTGAACTTTTTGGCAACGGGATATACTCGTGTTATTGCCGCACCGATTGAGAATCACTGAGATCACTTGGCTCCGACTAATCCATAAACACGGTTCCCTCGCGTAGCGTCGCAGCAGCTATCGCGTACGCGAAGCTTTAAAGCCGAAAGTCGACACTCGATAAAATACGAACGCATCACATATCGCTCGCGAGACTTTTTTCCCCGATATCGACATCGCGATGCTTTACGTGAGAGTATGACTCGATCGGATAGCGATTTGATGAAATGAAAATAAATTTCCGCTATAGAGACGGCAAGGCAAACCAATGTTCAAGGCAAACCAGGTTCAAAAAATGAATACGGCTTTAATAATAATGCTTGTTTGATTCCAACATGTGGCAACTTATTCTTTCCATCTCTTTTATTTTATCTAACAAAATTTCATTTAATCATCTTCTTCCTTCATCACAATAATACATAAATTATTTTGCTAATTGCCGCTAATTGCTTTGTATCAATAAATATAAAAGAAAAATCAATACAATAATGAAAATAGTAAAAATAAAAAATTTTTTTAAATATGATTTTACATAAATGTACAATGCCTCTATATTTTTTTTCTATCATATTGGAAAATGCACACGCATGTCTGATTATATGCAGAGATGACTTCGTCGCCAAAAGAACAAGTATATTCAAAAAAGATAATGCAGAAAAATGAATGTGACGAAGGAAGCACAGAGCTTTTTCTACTACAACAGCCAACACCCATCGATTTCGTCTATCCATCGTCTTCTGGACAATCTTGTGATAATCCTTACGTAACTCAAGCAGCTTATAACCCATCTTATAAACTGGCCTTGAATGATATTGTAGGTTATAGCATTAACGAAAATAACGACGACAGCAAGATTAACGAGAAAAATACATCAGCTGAAGCAAAAGATACCCGCATTGGTCAGTATGCGGAAATATCGATAAAGAATAATCCTTTTATGTAACTCTCACGTGGATTTAATTATGAATAGCAATTCTATATATATATATAATTGCTATTCATAACTTACAATTAGACAGAATATATTGTAATGCGCCATAATACAGCTCATTATGTATTGTACATTACTTTATATATACATGCACATTGCAATATATTCTATCTAACATAATTTTTTTGTTGTTTTTCAGAAACCTGTATAACATACTGTATCATTGGAGTAGTAATTCTCATTATTACTGGCGTAATTATTGGAATTGTGTATTTCCTAATACAACATCCAAAACTCGCACATGCTCTGCACAAGGCGATAGAAGCTGAAAAGGATGACAAGGACGCGTCGTCGCTAAAAAAAGTCACAGCAACCGCAAATGAATTAGCAAACAAGACTTCAACTTTTAAATCATCCTACGACAATGACGAACGGAGCTTCTAACTTAATGTATACGAAGATTGACATTACCAAGATTTGTCTTCGATCATTTGATGTAAATATAAAATTGCATAAATTAAAATAATTTTTTTAAGGCAAACAATTGGGACGTATATGAAAATAGTAACATATTAAAAATATAAATATGTTTTCAACATTAATTTCTGGTCTTACATTGTTTAATATTTTGCTATGCAAATTATAGATTGATATAATACTACAAGTTAGGACATAACTTAATTTCTCTCAATTATACGGAATATTGCTGACACGCAGTTAAACTTCCCGCTCTTTCAATATTTCTTTCAGAAGTGGGAGTGATAATACTGGTAACTGCTGGTAATAACGTTAATACAACTGCTCACAGACTGACACGTGCGTGGTGCTTGACAGTGACAACTCATCAATAGCACAAAGCTATATCATTGATAACTAAGAACTGTGTTTTTTTGTTTGGAAATTGGAGATTAGATGCTGTGATACAATTTGTTTTAAATTAAAACTATCTAAATTTTGTATGAGTTTTCTCGCTTAATAACTAATTCCATATATATTTGTGTATATTTTAATAACTGGTAAATAGAAAAATTTTATTTTCACCTATTTCACACAAGCTATTTAAACTGTTATGTGCATAATATTGATTGATTATAAATAATCGTATATTTAATAAATATGTGCACGTGTTTAAATATTTTGAAACCTTTATAAAAACTTGTAAATTGGTGAATTACATAATAGTAAATTGTAAACAATTCGAAAAATTGATATTAAAGCAATGTTTGTATCAATTGTATTGACAAATAGTATTTGTTGAATAAAATTTAAAATTGCGCAAGAAAAAAGTGATTTGTCCGTAAAGGCTGATAATGAATATGACGCTTAAGTTATCTTTAGAACGTTGATATGTAATCGCCTTGCTAACTGAAACCACTAACAAGCACTTGACTTTTACTCAAACATTTTGAGGACGTGCAACATTGAAAAAATAATTAAATTGTAAAAAAGCCAAAATATGTAAAAGTGTAAAATTTTCGTAATTATTGTGGTTTTGCAGGCAATGTATGAAATATATATGCCTGGCTACATAAGTTTGCACATTACAAAGAATCAGTAACGTTATCGTCTTTATAAAAATCAACAATATATAAGGTATAAAAACAAAATTTTCTATATTTATATTTATATGTGTTTCATTCGTTATCACTCATCCACATAAGATATATGAAATCAGAGTTATATCAAAAGTTAAATAAATTACAAAACAAGTATTATTTGAAATTAGTACCTATATATACATTTTTTTCATTCCTTATCAATTATAAAATTTGTTTCTTTCAAACGGACAATTTTTTTCCTGAAACATGTTATCGTCAATGAGTTATCAATTTTTCGTAATGTGAAAAATGAATTCCAAGATAAAAGATAAATAAAATTTGGAGTATATAATCTCAATAAGATAAATAAAAATAAAAAATAACTGCATATAACCTGTGTATATATCGCTATTAAATCTTTGTGAAAAATTTTTGTAGAAAATTTGAATACAAAATTTTTAATCTGTATTACTGTTTTCATCTCCAGTAACACTTTCTGTAAATTAAATCTTTGGCCAAAAAAGCCTTATTTCATTTCTTCATTTAATTATATTTAAGATCTAATTTAGAACTCTATGACAGAAATCAAATTTGCATGATAGACAAAATTAAATCATCACAGATTATCGATGAGATACATACATTTCATTGTAACAAAATATAATGCTTCCAGTTAATGATATCAATATAAACAGGAAATAATAACAAAAAATTAATGATACATATCTGCTATATACATATAATATATCTATATAAAGATAATCACAGAGAGAGAGAGAGAGAGAGAGAGAGAGAGAGAGAGAGAGAGAGAGAGAGAGAGAGAGAGAGAGTTTTGGCATTGAAATATCTCAATTAAATATACTATCGCAAGAAATATTCTAAGTACTTTTTTATTCACAACCACACTGAATATGTTCAATATTATTAACGATAATATGTTTGAAGAAAAAGCCATTCGTTTCAAAGAAACATATTTTAATAAGAGAATAAATGGGATACGTATATTAATAATTCTAAATAATAAATTAAAGTATAACACATATATAATTTTAAATTTATCGATAATTACATAAAAACGCACCTCTATCAATTTTAAAATTTATAAAACTTTTAATTTAAACGTGATCTTACGCACTTTGATGCAATTAAACAAAATGTATTTATATAGTTATTATGATATTATATTAGAAATCTTGGTCATATATCAAATATGCGTGTAAATAAAATTCTCTCTAAATAAAATTATAAGTATTTTTACTATTATATTACATATATTCGCGCATTATACTGATCGCACTATTAATCCAATGTACTTTAAGTATCTATTTTTTTCTTTCAAGAGGATATTGATATATTTTCTTTTCTTTTCAGATTCTGAAGCTATATCTTGACGTGATAATTCAGCAATCATGCATCACGGATCAAATATTTATACTATACATTCGCCGCACAATTCGGCACCGCCGTCATACGCAGAGGCGATGCAACAACCGAGACACAATTCGGCTGACCACATAACATCATACAATCAAGAATATTCGCAGATGCCTAGTTATCCACATCCGCAATCGAATAATTTTTATTCGCATGTCCAGCCAGCTTACGACACAATGTACACGACAGTACCGAATCAACAAATTCAAACTACGAGCACAAGTGCTCTCACCAATACAGTGACAGTAACAGGCTCGAGAGGAGAGAAGCGTAAGTTCAGGTGAATTATAAACATCAGTTAGATATTGACATTTAAACGTAAAAGATAAACAATAACGATATTAACTTCATTTTTGGAAAGCAACTAAAAAGAATATTTTATTCAATTTTAAAACTTTTGAAAAATTAATCATTACTTCAATAATTATGTAACATAAACAATTCTGTTACATTCAAATAAGATATTTTTGACGATTACTTTTGATATAATAGTTACAAGACAAATCTTATTGATGCATTAAATATTGAATTTAGAAAGTTACATATAAAAAGATATCAATTTGACTCCAATGCTATAATAAATTTTTTTTTGTTTTAGCGATTTTTACTTGTTGTAGGATAATCTGGGCAGCAGGCGTGTTCATAATTACGTTGATTGGCTTTATAATGGTAATTCAACAATTTAATAAGTAAAAAAAGTAAAGATTCGTATTATACTCGTATTATACTCTTAACAGAATGCAGAATATCTAATAATAAAAATGTATTAAGTGATTAGTGCGTCATTAAGCTAATTCACTAGATCCAAATAATCTTACTCATTTCGCTAATATCTAGTTTTATCATTAATAGCAAAGATCATCTTGTGATTGCATGTGATTAAAATCATAATAATATTTTTTCAAACTGCAATACACACACATACACAATATTAATTGTAATACATAGTCTTAAAGCTACGACAGAATTCTCTCTGTCTTTAGAAAGATAATTGAATACATTTGTCATGCAGATATGAGTGTCTATACGTAAATTGTGTAATTGTTTCGACAAACAAATATGCGGAGAAAGTACATTCAACGTAGTAATAACACTTATATCAATGTGATGTAACATATGCACAGTTCTTTTGTACGTTGTTATCTTTTTGTTTGTAGCTTTATATTTGTTTAATATAATATATACTTATTACAATGTATTATAATGTAATAATATATAATATATATTAATTATATTATATTATATATAATATATCATATAGAAATTTATATATAAAATAGAATAATACATAATACATTTTTCATCACTCGATAATGCAAAGATTAGAAATTATTATGAATGTTAGAATTAGAATTATTTTGTATCGTTTTACGGTATCACATTTAATCCGTGTACAATATAGCGTTATGTAAGATATATTTGGACGCGTAATAAAGGACGCGAGAGCGCGTTGTTTTCTCATCAAACGCTACAATCGTCATCCGACAACTTACTATAAAACAATTCATTACCACCCGTAAACCGAAATAATGAGAATCGCCCTTACAGGGAGAAAATTTTATATCAAAAATTACTACGATATGGCAGTAGCCGCGTACACAGTAATTTTTTATATAAAGTTTTCTCCATGTACGCGCGTCACAGCTACTTCCTTCGTTCCACATAAAAGGACACATAACGCCTATTCACAAGGATGTTACACGGTGTAAAATAACACAGCGATAAGAAAGGGAAAAAAACAAGGTAAACGTGGAAAATGAAAATGTTAACGGTTCTTTATCATATGAGATCGCGGTACAACAAAATCCCGTATTGCACGGCGGTCTCGTACGTGTTTCAGTGCGAGCGTTAAAGACGTGGGTAGATGTGGGCGACATGCCGAGTATAAGTAACCACTATATTTCACTGCTATAACAAAACATCACACACATATTGGAGAAGAACGCGAGGGGAGAAAGGCGGAAAGGCCAACGGAGCAGGTCACGATATCGCCCGCTTTTATTATTGGCGCAATAAAACCTCGGTAACCGAGTAATAATTTAAAAGTTGAGCGCCGTTCAGCTTAAACACCTTCGGCGCACCGAGACGAGAGAATGCGATCGACGACGGCCGGTACAGCGTCGCGTTAATAAGAGAAAAATCACTCAAATTAGTGAAAAAGAGTTGAAAGTCGTAACAATGCTGGCTTTGTTATACAATCACATCAAATAGAGCTATTAAAAATGTGATACTGTCGGAAAGATATGTTAAGGTCCGTGAACTCGTCACATTTTTCATAATTCGAATATAATAAAAAAAAAATTTTATCTGTAAAGATAACTTACATCTTACAATTAGTCTTCCAAAACTATAAAAGTTTGTACATTGATAAGACTTAGAATAAAAGTTAATTTTTCTCAGAGATTGATATGCGACAAATAGTTTTCCGCATTGCGGATGATATCTATAATATAGTGATAGAGTATATGTATGTATAGAAAAAGTTAGTAATATAAAATATATAAAAAAACTGGCATAGATTCATTAATACTCAGATTTTTTGAACAAAAGTACGTGTAAAATGTGTAATAAAGCATTTGATTTTGTTAACAATTCCACCAACTTGTAGGCAAAATTGTTTAAAATAATTCGTTTATGTAACGCGTAGAATTTCGCATATGACGTGCCGTTTAATATAGTAATGCATTACAGCGGAACTAAATTTCGCGAACCATTCATTTCATGTACGTCAAAAATTACGCGCGGCGTAATTAATTCGTATGTACGACGATTGAAATTACAGAATGAGGCTTATCGAAAACTCATCGCGCCGCTCGCTTGTCGACCGGGAATTTACGAGGCTGGCTTTTGTGCGATCCCGGCGAAAATCGATCAGAAAAGCTTGAATAAGTGCGGAGGACGCATTGTCGAACGGTCGAAGAATACGGGAATTGTCGTTAGCCCCCCGGTGACACGTCTGAGTTGTGGAGCAGAGAAACGGGGACTAGATATACGGTCGAACGTTGAGAGTGTAACAAGGTTTTCCGTTATCGAGTCTAAGATATCTCTAAAAAACGAGCACCGATCGCGATGCATCTCCGCGTTAGTACAGGGAACCGAGCGCGGCGGAGGGACGCGGAAGGGAGGAGGCGGTCGGGAATGCGAGAAAAACGCGGTTTCGCTCGCCTCGCGTCTAAAAATAGATCTTCCTCCGGAACCGCCGCGCTAGTGGAATTCGATATCGCTTGTATACGCTGCACTCCGCATCCCATTGTGCGCGTAAAACGAATTAAATATTTTCTCGCAGCGGGCGGCCCAAAGAATTCCAATGTAACGACGCCGCGCGCATTCGCGGATTTCGTTCGCGAATTAAAATTAATAGAACGCCTATCGACGAAACGATTGCGCGTCCGCGCGCGGTACATATATGCGCGCGTTACATGGTTCGGGATTATCGTTACAATCGATCGGATCGATACCTGAACTACATACGCGTATACGGAGAGGATTCCAAATGACTGTTGGAAAAGCAGGTTTTTCTCGCTTTACGCCGGACTTTCGAGCTTGCTGCGGCGAGATGTAAGCTCACGTGAGCTCAATGTTTTTGCCGTACCTTTTTCCGATAATTAATGTTCG